GCTGTGGCTCAAGTGGTGGAGCACTAGCCTTGAGCTGAAGAGCTGAGGGACAATGCCCAGGCCTAGAGTTCAGGCCCCAGGACTGGCAAAAGAAAAGGAAAGAAAAGAAAACAATGTAGCAGTAACTTGATCAGGGACATGCATGCATGCTTTTCTCTTTGATCTCACGCTCCTTCATTGAGCTGAAGCATATAGTAGAAAAGCACTACTCTGACCTTGCCCTTGTCTTAGACCTTGACCAGATGATTATTTCGCCAGAAGAATGAGGAAAACATACCTTGAAGAAAAATATTTGTCCTGAAAAAATGTTGTAAAATGGCCTTTTATTTTTTTTTTAATCACAACACATGCTTGTGAGCCAGTCACTGGTGGCTCATACCAATAATCCTAGCTAGCTAATCAGGAGGCTAAGATCTGAGGATCTGAGGAATGAAGTTTAAAGCCAGCCCAGGCAAGAAAGTTGTGAGACTCTTATTTACAATTAAGCACCAAATAAATAAATAAAATCCAGAAGTAGGACTATAGCTCAAGTTGTACAGCACTAGCTTTCAGCAAAGAAAGCTCAGGGACAGCACCTGGGCCCTGAGTTCAAGCCCTGGAAGCAGCACACACACACACACACACACACACCCCATGATAAATCCTAGATTTCCTACCATTTCACCTCTATATTCTACACATGCATTCCCTCGCATTCCCTCAACAAGGAACATTTTCTTACCCAGCCACAATTGGTCAATTACAGGAAATTTGCATGCTGATAAACCTAAGCAAAAACAAATGGAGATAGCCCAATGTGTTAAATCTGGAAATTCCAGCTGGATACTGATGGCTCAAGCCTGTAATCCTAGCTACTTAAGAGGCTGAGATGTGAGGATTGAATTTCAAAGCCACATCAGGCAGAAAAGCTTGTGAGAGGCTTATCTCAAATTACCACCAAAAAGCCAGAAGTGGAGCTGTGGCACAAATGGTAGAGTTCCAGCCTTGAGTGAAAAACCTAAGGGGCACTGCCCAGGCCCGGAATTCAAGCCCCAGTACTGGCATCAAAAAAAAAGTATGGGGGGGCTGGGAAGGTGGCTCAGTGGTAGAGCGCTTGCCTTACATGCATGAGGCCCTGGGTTCAATTCCTCAGCGCCACAAAAGCAGAAAAAAGCCAGAAGTGGTGCTGTGGCTCAATGGTAGAGCACTTGCCTTGAGCTGAAGAGCTGAGGGATAGCACCCAGGCCCAGAGTTCAAGACCCATAACCAAAAAAAAAAAAGTGTGGAATTCTTCCATCTAACAAGTAGAAAGCAAAACAAACTGAAAAATATCAACTCTCTTTTTTAAGATCAGTTGAATTAAAGAGAGAAAGAGAGAGTGAGCACAGGACAAATCTCTGCCTCTCAAACTGAAGAGACAGTCAGATACAAAGAATCCTGGTGAAGT